TTAAGTAAAAATAACAAAACAGAGAAACATTTATTGAATGCCAGATCCAGTTCTAAGTAATAGGAATACACCAACGAACAAAAGAGACAAGCACCCTGTCCCTTGTGTAAAATGCACTAAAGTGGGTGTGTATTTGCAAAAATAAAAGTGATACTAAATTTACTTATTAGTAAATGATTTAGTATGTTAGAAAATAAAAGCAAGGTGGGAGGACTGCAGAATGCCAGTGGAGGAGGCCTGGGAGGGGAGGGAAATTGAGGATTAAGTGATGTGACATTTGTCAAAACAGTAGGCAGCACGAGGTGTTCTGGTGTGATTAGATCACAGAAGCCATGCTTGGCTCAGCTAATGGGGAATCCCCCGGCCTGCGTCAGCCACAGTTTTGACCTCATTCAATATTTCCCTCTTCTTCTGAACTTCTTATTTCAGAGTCTGACTTTGTACATTAGGTAAACTTCACACTTCTGAATGGTTTATTGAGTACATTTCTGGGCAAGTCATCAGACAGCAGCTGACCTTTCTTGTAAACACTGATAGCAGCTGGAACAGTTAAGGCAGGGTCCTCTTTTACTTAGAATGTTCTAAATTTCGCTTAGCATATTCTGCCTCTTTCTGTCATGTCCTACTTCAACCAAAAGCTGATTAAAACAGTGCTTCTTGATACCTACTCTTTTGGCTCCACTCTCCTGACTAGAACTATGCGGAAAGAATTTAGCTTGTCACAGTAGCTGGGGTGAGGGAGTGTTCTGTGCATTTGGTGAACAAATTCAGAGATACTGAAAGGGTTGCAGTTCACGAACCAGACCTTTTAAAAAAGATTAATTTTTTTAAAAGACTCCATTCAGAATACTAACATCACATAAAAAAGACACTGGGTTAGAAAAATAAAACTTTGCTTAAAAAAATGTAGCTCTTCTAAAAATTGAATGATCATGTTTTCAAAGCCTATCTATCTCATTTGTTAAGGAATTTCTATTTCAGTCTTAAATATTTCAGAATCTAAAAGGCAGCATTGTGAATGTGTTAGGGAAAGTCAATTGCTCTAAACAAGAATTTACACCCCGATATAGTAAGTATTTAATCAAAGTGACTATTATTCTACACCATAGGTTTTATTAATTCAAATGATAAATGTTAGACCTTTTTATTTGTGCAACTGAGTGCTTAATAATTAGCAAAATGAGTGACAACATGCCGTACTCAATTCTTTGTTTCTATGATAGATCACAGAGTATGATGGACTCTAAATCCAACCAACTTGCTGCAAAGTCCATAATTTTGTCCTTCTTTATAGCCACATAATATTCCATCATGTATATGTACCACATTTTTTATCCAGTCCACCTTCTATGGGCAGCACAACAAATGACCACTTATGTATCTGACCCAGAATTGTACCCCACATCTTTAAAAAATAAAAATGAAAATAAATTAGCTAAATGATGACTGTAATAGGCATTCAATGGTGAAATTGGTATTATTAGAAATATATAGATTGACTGTAAATAGTAGCGAATTCTTGCCCCTCCATGGTATGGAACAAGCACCTCAATACTGATATCCAAAATTTAATGTCAAATGTTCCTGAATGTATATATAGCATGGCTAAACTAATTATGATAAACTATCATTTCACTCTTAGGTATATATCTGGAAAAAAATGAGTATTTATGTGCATTCATTTAAAGGCATAACAGCACTGTTTATGGTAAACCCAAGTTGGAATCTATTCAAATGCCTATCCATTGTCTAATACAAGTGTAATTCTTAGTAAATGCTTATGATTTAATAGTATACATTAATGAGAAGAACAAACTTGCCACACATAGCAACATGGATGAGTTTTAGCAACACAAAGTTAAATTAAGAAGTCAGACATAAAAGAACATGTACAATATCACTCTGCTTTAAACATTTTAAATACTTAAAATGTTTAAGCATTGCATAGTACTAAAATTAATTATGGTATGGCTAGGAAATAGAATGATTTAGTTATTAAACACATTAAAGATGCTCATAATTAAATATGATAGTAATTTTTAAAACTGTATATAGAATATATAATGCCTGGGAAAAAGTTTCTAGGAGCATCAGAAAGATGTGCAGAGATGTATCAGTCAGGATGTCAGTCAGAAACATGACACACTCAAGTTAGAATAAGTACAGGAGATTTCATTTTTAAAGAAAGTGTAGGAGATAGGAAAACACAGTTACTTCAAACAACAGAGCTGTTACTACTCCTAGCCCTGAAGAGATGAGAGGAAGACCAGTTACCAAAACCCAGGAGGGAGTTGCCTCGTGGGGGCTTCTTTGAGGGGAGCAGTAACCTTTGGGTGAGAGACACTGCCTGGCCAGTTGAGGACAGGGAAGAAGGGAGGGGAACAGTATCCTTTCTCTCAGTCTCCTTCTGGGGCTCCCCATTAGCTAAACCCAACGAGAAGGGAACCCTGATGTGGTCCATATAGTCCAGCCTACCAGAGAGAGGACAGGATGCACAAGGGCAGGTTGTGGCTGTGAGGGCGTTCAGGGGTAGGTTCCCAACCCACATGGCACAGATCACATAGCAGACTGATTCCCTGGAGGTGCTGAAGAGAGAACAATTTGCTTTTTAAATGTACCTTTATGTTGTCTTACTGCTGCAATAACATGTGCATTTTTTAATTCTGGGGAAAAAATGTGTGCCAATATATGTGAAGATTTGTACGTGTGTGCATGTGAGAGTATGTACATGAGCATATGTATGAGACAGAGAGGGGTAAGAGTGGAGTATGTGACACGGCATATGTATGTGAGAATGTCTGTGTGTAGGTGAAGGCATACAGGTAAAGTGAGATGGTGTGTCTGTGGGTGTGTGTGTGTGTCTGTGGGGGATGCGTGCTAATGTGTGTATGTGTGTATTAGATGGGGGGGTGAGGTATACGCGTATAAGTATGCTTGTGAGAGTGTATGAGTGGATCTGAGGCTATGCCTGTGTGTGTGGTTATGTATATGAATAAGTGTGTTTGCATGAGAGCCGTGGTACTGGGATGTGAGAGGAAATGTGTTTGTGCAGGTAAAGGGTATGCCAGTGTATGCATCGGTGCGAGGTGCACAGGTGGACGTGATATTGTGTTTGTGCAGGTAAAGTGTACATGTGTGTGTGAGGGTTTGTTTGTGAGGACTGTGTGAAGGGGATGAGTGTGAGGGAATGTATATACTCATTAGCATGTATATATTCGTGTGAGCATATTGTGAGTGTGTTTATGCACATAAACATAGAAATATAAAGATTTCTTGCCAGAAAGGAAAATGGAAGAAAATATACCAAAAATGTCCTTAGTAGTAATCTCTAGTGATAGAATAAAAGCAGATTTCATTCTCTTTACTTTTTTTGCTCTACTGTAATTAGAAAAACAATGACTATTTTGATCTGTCTTCTTCATTCCAAGAACACATGAAAATAAATATGGTACCTTTTTAACAGCATGTGAAAAATCAAAATCTTGACTAATAAAATACCTCTGAATAGGAATGTGTTTGGTAATTGGATCTCTTTTTTTCTGTAGATAGCCAGATACTTAATTCCTTGGTTAATTTACAGAAGAAAATATTGTCTTTTGAGAGCCATCAAACTATTTAATTTTTCACATGTTTTTATTCATTTCTGGGTATTCAATAATTGAAACTAATTGTTATGGATGTTTGCAAGCCAAGGTCCTGATAATTTTGCATTAATGAATTGATGACACTAATGTCTCATTTATGTTAAACTGCTTCAGGGAGTCAAAGTGCTTTAGGTTTTCCAAGAACTCAAAGCTTTCAGGGAGCCAAAGTGCTTTAGGTTTTCCAAGAACTCAAAGCTTGTGCCAGACATTAACAGGAGAAAAGGTTTTGGTAAGCATTATTTTTTCTGTTAGTATTGTGTTTTTGTACAGGTTTTCTGTTTGTTTTTAACTGTGAGCATGTAGGGCTTATGTAGTCAAGTTTCTGTCAACTGATTTTAGAGAAGATTGTCTTTTTAAGTAGATGAAATAGGCCCTGAATTTTCTCACTGATTACTTCATTTTCTCTGCACTGCTTCATTTCACTAATAATAAAATATAAAAATTTTCCTATTCCAAGTTACATGTTTATAAAAGAAATGTCAGCCGCAGTAAATGGCTGAAGTGTTAGTCTATATATATTATTTAAATATTTTTATGCTTTCTTTTTTCTCATTTTCTGTAACTGACTTTATTTCCTTTTTAAATTTTTATTTAAAGATGTGGGGCACACTTCAGGATTAGGTATACAAGTGGTCATCGCAGAGGTGAAGATTTTTCTGCTTTCTTAAAGTGACTTGCTATCACCAACAAGTCTCTCAGCAAATTTATTTGGTATTGTTGCCTGTGGGTTCCATGGTGTTTATGTAACTTGAATTGGTTGCTTGGAGTCATGGAAAACTAGATTAATTTTATGTAGATAACAATAAAAATATGATTCTGTATATCATATCTTTTCTGTGCACTTAGAAAGCAACTTTAGTTATTGAAATATAAACATGGCAAAGTCTATTGCAAATGCTATTAAGTTTGGTGAAACTTAAGACAATCATGGTTGCAGAACACATGTCATTCAGCCATGGAGGAATGTTCACACCCAGGAATGTTTTTTTTTTTTTTTTGCCTGATCAGTGCTTCTCCATTTGTCTCAAATGATTTCTCAATAGCACATCTACAAAATAGACTCACTTCTAGTAATGTTACCCAGAAATTGCTAGGAAAATGTTGAAGTGGGAGGATTGCTTGAGCCCCAGGAGGTCAAGATCAACTTAGGCAACATAGCAAGACTATGTCTCTGCAAAAAAAATAAAAGAGACGGGATTGGTGGTGCACCTATAAACCCAACTACTCAGGAAGTTGAGGTGGAAGGATTGCCTGAGCCCAGGAGGTCAAGGCTGTGATGAGCCATGATTGTGCCACTACACTCAAGCCTGGGCAACAGATTAAGACTCCATCTCACAACAACCAAACAAAACACCATGTGTCTTTTTCAACAGCAAATGGAAGAGTGAATCCGCTTTTACTCAGCGGCTATGTCAAACCATTGTGGTTCAGTGAACACTTTGTGTTCCCACTTGAATCTGAGCTCTTCTGCAAGATCCCTCCTGCCGATCTGACGTAGATGACGAGCCAGCAGACGAAGTTTGTCAGTGGAAGCTGGGAGCGATTTTTTCCAGAAGCTAAGAAGTTCGTGGATCTGTTCTGTGAGGTCATTGGGATTCTTGAGTTTGATGAGCTGAACGGTACTGGAGCGCAAAGGGAGGGATGAGGAAAGAGACTCAGCATTTTCTTCTGAGAGCTCCTCAGCCAGCCAGTGGAGCAAGTTATCCCAAAGGGCATCTGTGAGGCACACACGGAACACTCAGAGTTAGGATCTTTTCTTGGGGGATGTATTAGTCTAATCCTCCACATCTGTTTACAGGAAATCTACCTACTCTCTGGTCTGACCTTGGAGCAATAAAGAAATATGAGACCACCTAGATGGACAGCCAAGAGCCTTTGAGTTTCTGACATTACTGGGATCATCCCCTGAAGGCACCAGCTACTGCAGAGTGTTTGCAATGCTCCTGAACTTGAATGTAATCTGAGAACCAGGAGGGCATGTTAAAATGGTTATAGGCCCTACCCCACAGAGTCTAATCGGTGAAGGGCAAAACTTGATATTCTTAACAAGCTCCCAGAAGATGCTGATGCTGATGTCCCCAGCCATACTGTCAGTAGCACTAAATTTCTAAAGGATATTTTTAGGTTCAAAAAGACATTTCTCTTTGTTAGTACTAATCTAAGGCATAAATTATACCAACAGCTAACTAATCCTTCCACACACACCCAAACTCTACACACACACACACACACACACACACACACACACACACACACACACACCCCAAGATCTACCACTCTAAGTTCAGTTCTGTGGAAAGTTCCCCCACCAACAATTCCACAGGGCCTGACTCCTGTTGTTATGGTTGTTATTGTTTTTGTTGTGTCATTTAGATATATGACTGAGTAAAACCCCTATGCCCTACTATCTCTTCCCTTCCAAACTCCAGCCCTCTCCTGCATCACAGTCATTTTTCCCACTCTCATGCTCACCCCTGCTCCAGTTTCCCTGATCCAGTGTTAGCAAAAATTCTGTCTTCTGTTTCTCAACTACTTCTTCCATCTACCTATTTCTGTAAATTGCACCCTGATTTTACACTATAAAACCACCTTTCTAACCCTCCACACCTATTTATAGGAAATCCATCTGCTCTCAGGTGAAAGCTACTCAAGAAAAGACCAACAAATCCTTGCACTCCACTGTCACCTTCAAACAAACGTTATGCTACTACTATGCAACGCATTCATGTTAAAGTCCATGCTACCTGGGTAGGCTTTTCTCTCCCTATCCACATCATCAGCAGCTCTGCTGATCATCATTCATGCCTCCTCTGACCTTGGGTCACATGGCTTCTTTATTTGTTGATGCCAATGACCTATCTCATGAATCCAAACTAAAAACTGACTTTCATGGCCAATCCTTATGCTTCATCATCAGTCAGAATTATTCTGCCTCCAAGGTTTCCACTTCTCAATATTACTTTTGACTTCTACCTCCTAAACTTCCTTGGCTTCTACTCCTTTGCTCCTGGTCAATATACTCTTTGCCCCCATCACTACAACAGTGACTTCTCTGGGGCCCCTCAGTCATTCAGTTGCCTTTGCAGGGACTCACATACCTCTACCAGCACTGCTCCTAAAATGATCAGCTAGGCATGTCAACAATGGTCTTGCATTCATCTTAACATATGTCATCCTCTATATTTTCATTTCTCTCAATTTGGCAACCCAAATCCTACTCTACTCACATTGCATTCAACTGCTTGAGCTTCCCAAAGTTAGGAAAATGTTTATTTTCATAAACATATTTTGTGCTATTTTACGCCATCTGAGCCCTTACTAGCTTGAAAATCCATTAAAAAAATTTTTTTTACAAACTCAAAATTTTTCTGAGCAACGGCTGCAACTATTCTCTTATCCTTAATCCTCAATCTCACTCTCAATCTGTTTCACCCGGTCAATATCTGCTTCTCTTCCTTTACCCAAAGCCATCTGACCTGAGTTCTCCTAGCCTCTGTTACATTTCAAAATCACTTTCTTACAAAATCTCACTCTTCCTTGTTTGCTAAATTCCGTCTCCCAAGGTGTTTTTCATCAAGTGTTTCCCCTTTCGCACCTGTCCCATAATCTCCTCATCGCAGGCTCCTTCCATTCTTCTTTTTTTTTTTTTGTCAGAGTCTCACTCTGTCGCCTAGGCTGGAGTGCAGTGACTTGCTCATGGCCACCGCAGCCTCGAGCTGCTGGGCTCAGGCGGTCCTTCCGCCTTTGCCTTCCCAGTAGCTGGAACTACAGGTGCGTGCTACCACACCCTGCTTGTTTTTATGATTTATTGTAGAGACGAGGGCTCACCCAGTTGCCCAGACTTGTTTCAAATTCCTGAGCTCAGGCAATCCTCTTGCCTTGGCCTCCCAAAGTGCTGGGCCGGGCGCAGTGGATCAAACCTATAATCCTTCCATGCTTCTTACAAACACTCTCAGGTCTCCTCTTCCCTTGCTTCTGCTGCTGTGCCAAGCTGCTATGCTATCCTTTTCCCTATACCTCAAAATCTTTTCATGTCTAATGTGAACTTGAGTCCCTAAGTCCCTCATTCTCAACTCACAGCTTAAACTCTCGCTGCAGAGGCTCTGTGCCCTCCTTTAAAACTCTATTGAAGCCTTTTTTTCAAATCTCCCCAGAGGCCTTCTCATTATCATTCACAGCAACTGATCCTTGGCCTTCATTTTCTCTGACTTCCATGAAGCATTTTACTCCCTTCCTTGGATTTCATGGCCTCCCCTGGTTCTCCTCTTCCCTTTCTTGTCCTATGCTGACTGTCTTCCTTCTGACACTGCTACATTACTGCATCCTATCTCAGACCTCTTCTATTTCTGTTCTCTCCCCTCAATGAGTTAATCAACTCTTATTGACGTAACCAAGCACCATTAACTATACGAAACATCCCAGGTCTACTCTATCCTTACCTTTGGCTTTGTTCCCTAAATTCTGGCATAGCATTTGCAAGATCCATTCCTAATTATTTTTACCAGTATTTACTCCAGTCAATAAAAACGGCATACTTCTAAAATCAAAATCATAAACTTTAGCTTTTTCTTCTCTCCACTTGATCCTTCATTCTATTTGCTTCTTAATGTGGCCATTCAGCGGCGTTAGCTATTACATGTGATATTATTGAGATTTCTCAAAGCCTATTTCTTATCCTCTGCACTCAAGTCCTAACTTTAAATATCTCAAATATTTTCCCTACTTTTCCACCTTACTGATTCAATCTTAATCACTTCCTACCTTACTGGTTCCAGGAATATTGCTGGAACCGGGATTCTCAATTGTATCCCTGCTTTTAGTTTTGACTCATGTTGGTCATCCCCATACAAATAAAAGAAAGAAGTTTTGAAAGTCTAATCTGATCTTGTCAGTCCCCTGTACACAAATCTTTTGTAGAATCTTTCTATTGTCTCAACTTCTTAACTTGGCATTTAAAACTTTTCATAGTGTTATTTCACTCAAACTGTCTAACTTCGTCTACCATCATCCTTCCAACACAGCTCTGATGACGTTGGCAATGTGAAAAGATTTCCATGGGCACCAATATCACCCACCCTATGTAACAGCCTAAAACTTCCTAATACACATAAAAGGACCCTTATGTTCTTTGTGCTTCTGGTGGGTTGTGACAATGGCAGTGATTGTGAATTTATTTAAACATCAAATTCTTCAAAAGTTAACAATATTATTAAACTTACTAAGCTTTCTTCAACTGCTGCTGTTGTTTTCTATATCACTTGTTCTCTCCTTTAAAAGAGTTTTATTGTCCCTGAGAGGTGTATAATACTAGAATTAATTCCCATCCTATGTCTAATAGAATTCCAGCAAAGCCTGTGCATTTTCTGTGCAAATCCCTGAGAGTAAACCCTGGCTGGAATTCTGTGCCATCCTTGGTGGACCTGATATGGTAGTCAAAACATACTCGCTGATATCTTTTGAAGACCAATAAATTGTCATCTTACTATCTATTCACATCACAAAATGAAATGTTTCAAAGGCTAAAATAGAAGTGTCACATTCTATGCTGAAATCTGCATAATTGTTAGGGGACTGAATTATACACAACTACAGCCAAATATTAAATGTTTTATTGTGGTTTCATACCAATATATTACTCTATTTCAAATCTATTGACCTCAAATATTGCTTTGAACTGGCCACATAAAGATTTACAACTTAACAGACCATATTTCAGAACAAAATGCAGTCATCTAGTTACCAAACTAAGTAATTACTAGTCATGTGGGTAAAATAATACTTAATAAGTTTCATATTTTTTTTGTAGATGTCAACTCAACTTTAATTACCTGCATACTTGAGAATGCTGTTTGGGCTTATATATGCACGACTTCCCAAGGAAAATCCATTTAGTAAGCTGATAAACTTAATGGTTGTTTAAATGGAAAGTCACTTTCTCAATTCCTTTTTATAAGATAATTCACATATATATAAAATATAAGAGGGGGGAAAGTACGATAACGATGACAAAGCAAATATTCCTTACCAAGAGGATCTGTAGAAATTCTTTTGGTACTCTGTGGACGATTGATTAATTTTTCATGCTGTTGGGAGAAAAGAACACAGAATAAGCAGAAGAAATCATTAATTTGTGAACAAGCTATGGAAAAATCCATCTGAACCTCACTTCTATTTGGAAGAAGTACTGAACTACATATCTTGCAAAATTAGATCTTATATTTGTGCATGCATGCTCAGCAATTGCTCTCCTAAAGTAAGGCAAAGTATATTAACCCAAATCTTTCAACAATTTTGAAGTTAAGAATGTGCATGTAAATATTATTATAGCACTCACATTAACTCTGAATGAGCATTTTTCAACTAAAATTTAAAACTGTTAAAACCAACTAGCATAGAGCTAGCTACTTGCATGCTTCAAGCATGGTATTTTGTAAATTCCCTTGTAGGAAAGGCACTATATATATATAGTGCTTTTCTACACTATCTGAAAGTAATATGGAATAGAGGAAACAGTACATGAGGTAAAGTAAAACACCTGAACTGAGATACCTGTTACGTGGTTGACTAGCCCTTTGGAGAATTTATTTATCTCCTCATTCTTAGTTCTGAACTGTGTTTTTCAAAGCCTGTATCACAAAAACTCATACACAAATGTTCATAGCAACTATATTTGTAATAATAAGAACTAGGAAACAACTAAAATGTTGTTAATAGGCGAATGGCTAAACAAACATTGAGTGAAAAATTCTAGTCTCAAAAGGTTGCATATTCTGATTCCATTATGTGACATCCTTGATATTACAGGATTATAGAGATGTAGAACAACAGAGTGATTACCAGAAAATAGGGATGGTGAGGGTTAGGATGAGAGTGCAATAAAGAGGTAGCGTAAGAGAGACCTTTGCCATGATGAAATAGTTCTGTATCTTGAATGCAGTGATGAGTACCCAAATCCTCACATGTGATAAAACAACATAGAACTATACGCACACATTGTTTCAATGTCAAATTCCTGGATTTGATATTGTGACATAGTTATCTAAAATGTAGCCACTGAGGAAATCTGGATGAAGAATCCATAAAAACTCTCTGTATTATATTTCGCAACTTCCTGTGGATCTATAATTACTGTATTTCAAAAAATTTTTTAAAGCCCACTTCACAGCAATGGTACGAAGATGATGTGAGTACTATATGTTAATGCACAGCACAATGGCTCCCACTGTGCTCTCAATACAAGTTAGTTGAATATGAATATCATATTTTGCAGGCATTCTTGTTACAGACATTACATAAACATGGAAGCGTATACAACTTCCATTCAGAAGTTTTAATGAGAAGGAATCAAGAAGCATAGCCTATGTTCAAATATGTAATACCATAACACTGTAGACTGCATATAATTTTCAAGGCATCAATGATATTCTTGCACCCCTCAAAATATTAAAAGAAAAATACCAATTTAAATAGTGCAGCAGATTCTAACATTCTCATCAAAGGGAGCATGGCCTGAATTGAGCCTGGGCGAGGTTCACGCTGGTTTTTTTTTCTTCTCTTTATATCAGTAGTTTTTTCCCCTCAGTCATTCTTTGTTCACAGAAATCTCATAGCATTGTGATGCACAGAGAGGTATTCTGGTATTTAAAACCATTTTTTTTCCCACACACATGAAAATTTACTTCAAGTACTTCATCTGATACACAACCATAGAATCAGTGAGGCATTACGGGTTCATCCAGACTCCCAGGCACTGTGGTGGTTAGTCGCCTATGTGGCCTTTTCACCAGAGATGTCCAGTCCTGTCTTCCCTTCCATTTTATTCCTTTCTCTGCTTTTTTCTACTTTTTATTTTTTTTTGGGGGGGGGCATGGTTTTTGTCTGCACTATTTTTGCCCTACACACTACTTTTTGAACCTCACTGGTGCTCAGAGGCTGCCCCAGACTAGACAAAGCTACCACTTGCAACTCTCTGGGTGCCCCAATGCAACTACAAGTGTCCGCATGTAACTCCCTGGATGCCTCCTTAGCAGAGCCAACTCTAATTTTTCCCCACTTTCTTCTCTTGCTTTCTTCCATCAAAAGGTGCCATCCTGTTACATCTTGTAAGACTCTACTTATGAGATTTGTTATTCCTCCTGAGTAATCTGTGTGTATGTTAATATTATGTATTTTAATTTACTGAATACAATTTCTTAAAAGTTTTTTTTCTTTTTGTAGAAATGAGGTCTGGCTATGTTGCTCAGAATGGTTTCAAACTCCCAGACTAAAGTGATCCTCTTTTCTCAGTCTCCCAAAGTACTGGAATTACAGACACGAGCCACCAAACTTGGCCCCAGATGCAATGTCTTAAGTGTCACTTTCAACACATCACTGCTTGAGATGATTGTTGGGTGAATCTAACCATGGCTCTCAAGCTCGCCATGACCTGTTTCCCTGTTGCATAATCTACCTTGTACAAGTACATTCACTGGGGTTCACGTAGCAGTGTTCCCCTCACTACCAGCCTCTCAAAGGCATTAGTATAGAAGTATAAAAAAGTCAGACATATACAGCTGTGAGATATTTATGCTAAGTGCAACACAGAACTTATCTACTTGAAAGTGATTATTTTTTAATTGAAACCAAAGACACGTACCTATGTCTGAAAGGGCTGTGAGTTTCTTGAGTTTTACTCCTTCAATTACTGAATATTCTTTCCAGGATACCTAAATACAACCCTGTTATTGAATTCTTAAAACTAAATAAACCATTTTTAGTTGAACTTATATGTGTGACAATTTGCTCTTTCAATGTACCACCCCCAAAAAATGGACTTGGGCACATTCACTCTATGACCCAACATTATTTCTCATGGCACTTTTAAAAATTTTTCACAGCATTTTCAAAACTTTCATTACCATTCTAACATCTAGCCATGACCATCTTGCCTTTACTTGTTTATACTGACCTCTTGGAGGGCCAAGAAGGTAGATCTTATTCCTACATATGTTCTCTTCGATGCCTGACATGATACAGTGCACATTGAGCAATACAGAAATATTTTATTTATGTGACAATATCTTGTCTTGACTTAAATTATGTGCCCCTTTAAATCCTGCCATAGTTTCAAGGCCCTGGTCAAATTTCCCCTCTTTCACCAACTACACTAATCCCTAGTTTCTTATTTGGGAGTTTTTGAAATATCAAACAATTTACCTAACAACTTAACCTGTTGTTATTAATGCCATTCATATATGCTTGTTTTCCCTCCCCAGTTAGGCTTCAGTGATTTACTGTTTTTTCTTTTGTATTTTCTTTTATGTCAATACTTATATGTGCCACACAACAACCCTATCAAAATCTTTTTTTTTTTTGAGTCAAGAGTCTCACTCTGTCACCTAGGCTGGAGTGCAGTGGCACACTCCCAGCCACCGCAGCCTCCACCTGCTGGGCTCCGGCTATCCTTCCGCCTCAGCCTTCCAAGTAGCCAGAACTACAGGCGCACACTACCAAGCCTGACTAATTTTATGATATACTGTAGAGACAAGGGCTCACCAAGTTACCCAGGCTGCTCTCGAACCCCTGGGCTCAGGCAATCCTCTTGCCTCGGCCTCCCAAAGTGCTGGGATTACAGGCCTGAGCCACCATACCTGGTCCAAACTCTTAATAAATACTCAACAGTCACAGGGGCCCTCCACAGGCAATCACAAGGACTATTATCACCAAATATTTAAAGTTGGTATCAAATTTGCTGAGCAATGTTTTTATGTATCCATAAAGATTTCTTCCACCATTTTCTACAGAACACATTTCAAATCTTTGCCGCTCTGAAAAACATCTACCTCACTCCTGCCGACCACTCTCTCAGCAACAAGTTTTATCTTCTACCCATGGAGAAAAAGCAGTGATTCTCACACCTCATTTTTTTTGTTGGTAAATCTTGAGAAAAGGAAGAAACTGGGTGATTCTGATGCTAAGGTTGGGGGACTGCACATAGAAAAACCCCACAAGCATCAAACCTACATGAACTGTCAACTCTTACCCCTACGGATGTGTCCCAATTAATGCATGGAAGAATGAAAGGAATATCTTTATCCACAAAGTGATGAAGATTTCTAATATCATGTAAGACCAGAAGTAAAATTCTGATAGATTTTTACCTAATACTACAGTTATTTAGTGATGTAAATATTATCTTCTGTTAAATACTTTCTTTTTTTTTTTTTTGAGTTGGAGTCTCACTCCGTCGCCCAGACTGGAGTGCAGTGGCCGCTCCCGGCCACCGCAGCCTCGACCTGCTGGGCTCTGGCGATCCTTCCGCCTCAGCCTTCTGAGTAGCCGAAACTACAGGCACGCACTACCATGCCCGGCTGATTTTTTGATTTATTGTAGAGATGAGATCTCGCCAAGTTGTCGAGGCGGGTCTCGAACCCGCGGGCTCAGTTCATCCACTCACCTCAGCCTCCCAAAGCGCTGGGATTACAGGCTGAGCCACCGAGCCCGGCAATAATTTCATAAGTTACCTCACATGTGTCATGCAGACGACTACATTCTGGTGCCCACCTCCTCATTCAGAGACTCCAGCTTCCGGTGAAGTCCTGTCCGGGCATTTCTGGCAGGTCCACAGGCTTTACTCTCTTAGTGTCTACACTGTCCCATCAGTTGTCCCACAATGCTCAGCTGGACCATGCAGCCCTTCCACAGTCCTTCTGTGGGCACTGCAGTTTCTCCCCGTTTCTATCACCATGTGGTACACCATGGTAGTTTCTGCCATTCTTCAGTTTTGATCCTTTGGTGCCACATAGGCCCAATTATCTAACATCTGTGATTATCACAGGTTAGCACTGCTACTGCCCTGCCACTGCTCTGCTGGGTCCTGCCAGTAGTGATACCACTCTACCTGCTGTACATGGAGCACTTGGTCTCTCAGGCTTCTCTACCAAGTCAAGCAAATTTCCATTTGTGGTCACCCTCAGCATTCCTAGTATGTGAGGTATGTTGCAAATGTGACAGAGTGAAATAAGTGGCTTCCTATACCTCATGTCACATAACACTAGGGTAATTTTCTAAAAAGTTTTAGCGTTGCGGGGTACAAGAGAGGATT